GGCGGGGCTGAGCGGGGCTTACATTCCCGTTCCCTTTCCCCTTTTCCTTTTCCCTTTCCCTTTCCCAGAGAGAAGCCCTTTAAGGAAAAAAACCACCAGTGCCTTCAGTGGTGAGAATGGCAGAGTGTGGAAAAAAGATCTCGGAGCATGAGTAGGATGAGTCGAGCGTGGTCTATGGTAACCTGCCCCTTAACTTCTTTGGAGGCATTATAACTCTAAGCCTACACAAAGTCTGGTAACTTGTTACCCAGATAAATAAATAGATGTTTTCAGACACATGTGCTATTCAGAGGGTAATATATATATTTTCACAAATACATACATAAATGCACAGATTGTTTTTGAGGTAACCATTACATGTAACTCAGCCACACAACCTCCCTGCAAGGTAGTTTTAGGCTGGTGTGGTTCAGCCAGGGCATTTCTGCATCAAACTGTTCTGTGAATGTCAGTAACTACTTAGCGGAGGATGGCGGTATAAGGCAGCGTGCCACCAAAGAAAACGCACATAGCATTCGACTGTTTAAACCGTTACTTCCAACAAATTGCAAGTGATCAGTGTTGCCACCCCAAGGTGAAGCATTTGTTCTCTCACACACCGGAGGTATCCTAAAGGTCTGCTGGAGAAGAGGACGTCATTGTTTTGGTAGTGGCGAGCTGTTTGAGGAAGGTGTTTGAGGAAGGAAAGACCTAAATGCACAGGCAATCAAACTTTACTTATCCAGCAGAAACAAAATTCTTGGGAAGTGTGTTCATCATCTGGTTGTTTAGACAGGCAACTGAACTATACTTATGAGTGCCAAGATCGCTGTTGTGGATAATTTTACTGTCAGATCTGTTTCAGCTGGGGCACTTCATAAACTACAAACACATTTCCTTGGTAATAAAAGTGATGTTTACATTTGGATTATTTTCTGTTTTGCTTGTGTGCCAGACAACTTTTTCTGGTATAGAATAGATTTTAAATGTCAGAGTCAATAATATAAGCTAGAGTTCTGATGGTCTGGCAACCAGTTTATATTCCTTCCTTCAGCTCCAAATTTAAATGCATTAGAACTTCCCTACATAACCCCTCAATTAGCTGAAATAACAGTTGTTGTTGTTATTATTATTACAATTAATATAAAATTATTGTTATTATTATCATCATCCTAGTTAAAAGAGAAATTAACACTGAAAACTGCTTTCACACTGGTATATTGGTTGTGTATTGATGTAATTAGACCGAAGAGCTTCCAAGGGTTAAACACTTGGGTGGGCAGGGTTTACCAACTCATGTTGATGGGGTTTGCTCAAATTCTCCATGATAAAATCTGCTTTTTGCCTAATAGTATTAACACGAGTAAGAAATTCTTCTGAAAATACTATAAACAAATTTAAATAAATTGTAATAATATTTCAAAAGCAAAAATTTTAGTAATGCACATAGATCCCTCTCTGGACACTGCTCTGGGCGGGGGGGGGAAGGGAATCTTCAGATGTTTTCTTTTTTTTTTCCCCTAAATTCTTTAATTTAAAGCTTTTTTTTTTTAGTTTTCCCTAATGGGACATTGATGAATTTGTATGTAAAAGGTATCAGCTGGCATATGTCCAGAAAATAACAAAACAAACAAAACCCATATCATCTTAGATAAAACACAGTATGTGTTTATTGAGAATTCTCAAGAGAAAGAAGCAAAATAAATACTTTCATCGTTAAACCAATGAAGTGGTAACACTAACTTTTCATTAATCAAAACTTTATGTCCACCTGGCAAAATAGAGATCAATCTGTTCTAACTACTAACATTCAAAATTTGTGCTTTTAAGGAAATGCCAAGTGTCCTTGAAAACCACATTAAAAATACGTTCTCATCCACAAGTTGAAAGTGATAGCCACAAAGTTGCTCATTCAGTTTTTGTGTTGTCAAGATGCTTCTGTATTTAAATGGATGTAGGTTATAATTTCTTACTTTCAGGATCAAATTAAGATTATGGTAATCTCCTCCGCAACTGCTATATATCCATTTCAAATATAATTTAGATACGATGGTATCTGACTTTATGACAATAGTACTTTTTCAGATTATGTCTTTCAGTAATTTAATAAACACAAAATCATGTTTACCTCCATCTAAATGGAATTTCTGTAAGAAAAAGCACCCTTCACATATAAGATGGACATAAAAATACGCAGATTGCCCTGTGCTTTAAAGAGTTTTTTTAAATGGCTGTATTGCAGAATTTTGTTGGTGAACGACCAGTTCAGCCAGCTTTCATCTGCATGTCATTCATTTGCTAGTATTTTGATTCAGTTAGCAAAATGAAGGCACAGAGACTGGAAAAGTCTTAGTTTTTGTTGATAGATGTATCTACATTTCTAAACATGGCAAGGTTGATCAAGAACAAGGGAAAAAGGTGAAACAGCTTTGATGGCAGAACTGTATCAACCATACATGCACATACGTATGAAGTTTGAAAGTTGGTGCGATACTGATTTTATAGAACAAAGTGTCACAGACTCATTCTAAATGGTTCAGAAAACATTGTAACTATTTCTCCTTTACAGAAATTATTAATAATATGGTTCTTAAAAAAACTCATGACAGATTAATGCCTTTGGAGGCTCCCAGAGCAAGGCCTAAGTTTTCAAGAAGAGAAACAAAATTTACATCAGATTCCAGTTCCTGAGAGGATCTAAACACCATTTCAGTAATAGATAAATAAATAAATAAAATCAGCAAGTGTTCCTCTCATTTTTATTTTTTTTTAACAGTGGTTTATGAATGTACATGTTCATTCATGTAATATTTTAAAATTAAGAATTAGTTTTCCACCTATAGCTCCTTTCACTTTGCTAGAATTCAGACATAAATACAAAGGAAATGGACCCAAATTTTTAATCCTTTATATGAGTTCCAGTTTTACTTAAACAATATAGAAAATACACAAATATCATAGAATCAGAAGAATCATAACATAGTTTGGATTGGAAGGGACCTTAAAGTTCATCTAATTCCAACCTCCTACCATAGGCAGGGTCACCTTCCACTAGACCAGGCTGCTCAAAGCCCCGTCCAACCTGGCCCTGAACTCTTCCAGAGAGAGGGCGGAGGGGGCATCTCTATGCTGAATATACTAGTAAAACCCAGCATGTACTAATGGAAATGTCAATTTCCTTATTCCTATTCTATCTGAAGGATTAAGTATTTCAGGTAATTTTGAAAATGGGGAAAAAAACTGATCAGTGACTCAAATGCTCACAAACCAAAATATTTCCATTTTTACCTTATATTCAACTTGATTTCTTTGTTGTTTGAAATAACTTCTGAATCAAAATGCAGGTCAGAGAATTCAATAGATGTTTTAAGCACATCTTTGATGACATAAAACTCAGGGTGCAAGAGGGACATCAGATAAAAGAGAACAGGATTGCAGGGTCTCAACAAAACGTTCATTAGAGGCAGATTTCCTTTTGTCAGAATGAGAAGGTAGGAAAACATTGTCAGATCTGTGGGCTGAATGTCACCAATCAAAGGAGCCTGTGACCGGAGGGCAACTCTTCTTCCAGCAATTTATACTGTAGCTGCACCTGAAAAATGAAGATTGAACATTCAATGTGTCTATAATGGATGCTCTTTGCCAGATTTCCTGGGCTTTTTTTTGCCTCAGTCCTTTTAAGACAGTGGGCAGGAACCTTGTAACTCCAGATATATATAGACATCCCTCCCCATTTTTTCTCACTCCCCATTTCCAGACATACGTGGGATCATTGACGTGACCTTACACCCCGGCCATACAGACAAAAGAAAATAAGAGACTGCTGGGACCCTGATGACATAAACATCTGTGGTGATGGCCTTCAAAGCCCTGACCAGCCTATCCCAGTGCACCCCAGCCCTTGCTCTAGCTGGATCTCCCCTTCTGAAGCCTTACCCTAGTGCCCAGGCAGCAGTGGCTGCCCCAGAGCCCACCATGGCACTCCCGGGCTGAGTCTTTCTGAATCACCAGGGGATCCCAGACCTCTCAGAAATGCCTGTGAAGCTTCACACACCTCCTGTGCCTTACTCGTGTCACAGCTGTTAGTCCCATTATAGAAAAAGTAAGGCGAAGAAGGTTTAAATTGACCTCTATGGCAAGCGCAGGATGCCCACCCAGGCCAAAGCTGAAATGAGGGCCCCAGCCAGAAGGTACATGGGGTGTCCCAGGCAAGGCACACACAGAGCCACAACAGTCAGTCACCTCTGTGGTGGCAGACACCTCATGTCATGTAATTTCCTTCATAAAGTGATGTATATGCACCTTCTGGCCACGTTACGGCTTCCTATCCTTGTCCTTGATGAAGAACATTAATTACCACTGTTGCTTACCGGGGTGTGTGTGTGTGTGTGTGTGTGTGTATAAGATGAGATTTTCAAATGCCCTCACCCCTGAGCTATTTCTGCCCCCACTGAAATTGTTTGTAAAATGGGGTAGATTTGTGTTAATCTACTCCAGCACTACATCATCATAGAATCATAGAATGGTTTGGGTTGGAAAGGACCTTAAGATCATCTAGTTGAAATTGATTTGGTCTTACCCTGTGGTTTGAAACAAAGTTTCTTGTTCTTGTAAGCAGAGTAGGCTGCTATTGATCCAACAACCAGTATTACAAAAGCAGAAATTATAGGAGATGTAACTCCAGCTATTAATCCTGAATCTGTGGAAAAAACACAGATTTTTTTTCAGAGACACCAAAATGGTTTCACTTAAGTGCATTCTTTACTAAGGTGTGCTTTTGCCAAACTATGAGAATTGTTTGGTGACACATTAGAAATTCATTAAATAGAATTAAGCAGCAGATTAGAAATCATGTTACATTACAGATAGTGTGGAAAAAAAAGTGTCTTAAAGTCTAATTTAGTGTATGCATTACTTTCATCAGGCTAAAATTTTCTTGCTATTTTATGATGATCATAAAAAAATTAAAGAGTAAATTATTTACCATACCTGTATTTCCTCCATGATTGAAATTGTGCTCCTCTTCTCCTGGAATAGAGGGTGAAGTTTCATCAAGAAATGTGTTTTATCTTGTTTGAGGACAAGGAGGTGAAAAGGTACAGCTCGGCAGGACTTTGAGAGAGGAGTTCTCCTTCCAGTCCTGTTTGACAGCTGGCCAGAGGAATAACCATCCATCCCCCTGACACTTCATTTTTGGAAAATATTATCCTCTAAAAACAGGGTAATACTTAGCAGTCTACATCAAGCTTATTTCACAAGCTCATTTAAGACAAGATCATAGGCCCAGTTCATCTACTTGCAGTTCTCAGCAGAAGCCCCTTGCTTTGGGACTGTCTTGGCTGAATTAAAAGGGATAAATCCTGCAGGGTGCTGGCATATGCCAGAAGGCTACAAATGTTCAGGAATATAGGTTAGAGCTTCATGCTCAAAGCCATGGTTTGTGGAGAAGGATAACCTTCTAAATAAAAATAGCAGAGTCTTGTCCTACTCCTTCAGTGACAAACAGATTACCACTAAAGCAAAGGCAGCCAGTTCTGAGTTACAAGTATTAGAGAGAAGCAGCAAGAAGAATTGGCAAATACTACCTGTTATGTGGGGTGGTAAAGGCTTCCCATCAAGGAGATCTGAGTCATCAAAACCTCCTGCAAGATAAAGATTAGGATTTCTATTGCAAAATTGTCTGAACCCTGGTAACCCCTTCAGCTCCCTTGTCTGGTCCTTTTGTAATGTTCTGGGGAAGGATGAGGGACTTTCAAAGTCCCAGCTTTGACATGGCAGGTGTGCCAGGGGTCTTGCACTGAATGGTCACCTATTCAAATTCACCTGAACACTGGAGTACTAGAACTGTTGGTGTTCTACCTGTTATGCATCTGTATTAGCACCTGTGGGATGTGTGGGCTTGGGCTCTCAGTAACGCAAATCTTTGTATAATATGGACATCCCAAATCCCAGAAGTTCCTGGAGCAGGAAGCCAGTGGGTGCTTTCCAGGAAGGCCTGCAGAAGGACTCCAGAAGGGCCTGTCCATGTATCACCACTACAATCATACCAGAAGTAATTATGGGATACATGGTGGTAGCTGGGATAGATGTGCCACTTCCATTGTATTTAAGTGTGTGTCTGGGACCACACTCAAAAGCAATACAGGCTTACGTCCACCTCACCAGTCCCACCTCTTGCATGCCCCAGGGCAATCTCAGATGCACATCTCAGTATAGATTTGAACATAGGCTTATTCATGCCCTGTAGCTAAATGTCAGATTTGAACCTTACTATGGTTCGGTGTATATACATCCAAAACAAAAAGGCAAGTAAGATGAGTGTTAACCTCATGCCACTTAGGAGTCAATGTCCCACGTTTTGTGCAGACCATCAAAGCTTTGTGATACCAACACTAAAACTTGGGAAATCTTTCCAAACACTGTGTCAGGAACAGTGACTACCAAAGGGAGATGAAGGGAACGGGTGGTAAAAATTATTAATAAAGAAATAAGAAAGTAAACTATTAAAAATATTTACTCAGAATAGTTCATTGTGCTTGATTTTCTTAGGAGAATATATTCTTACCAGAAATACTATGGCTTCCTGGTCGTGGTGGAAGAGGCGGGTATAAAGGTTTTCTTGAGATGTCACCTATTGATAATTAATATTGTTAGATGGTTGGATAGGCAAAACAGAGAGATGTAAATAAAGAGTATAATAACTTGAGATTCTATGCCTATTTTTAATTTGTCCTCCTGTGAATTAGCAAAAGGACCTTGAAACTAGTTAAAAAGTCTCAAGCAATGTGTCAGCAAATAGCTATCTACTAAAACTAATTAGAAAGTGAAAAGGGAACATTTGCAAAATTAAAATGAGAGAAGAATTCACAAAAACGTTGAAGAGAATTTCCTGTATTTCTGGTAAGTGCTAACATCATTTAATGCTGACATGTGGGAAGCACAGTGTGCTACTGTAGGTGTTGGGGGTGCAGTTAGCAGAGCTGACAGAGAAGCTGGTATTCCAGGCTGGGCAGGAGACAACAGGTTATCCCTGTATCAGCAGGTATTAATAAAATCTGCAGATTAGTTTCATCTAACAGATGCTGAATTTATCTACTGCATGATGAATTTTCTACTCTTGAACAGTGCAAAATGAACTCAGACTTGAGCTTTGCTGCTTAGGACTTTGTGCCAGTATTTGGTCTTAATTTTTGCAAAAGTGTTAGAAAAAGATGCATTGGATAAAGAGGGAGATCTGGTAACTAATACCAGTTTTCAGACTACACTAACAGTGATGGTGCAAGCAAGAGCTGGCTCAGGTCAAAACCCGACAAAGTTAACATCCAGGGCTGTGGCTGCATATGTATAGTGGGTCCTCTTTTGCTGTCCTTTCCCCAACCAGTTCAGTTGCATATTAAACTGTTCTCAGAGCCAGACAGTGAATTTAGCTCTGAATAAATTAAAATTAGGTCACAGAAATAAATACTAGTTTCTCTTCCTCTCCTTAAATCTTTCTTTCTCCTTCAATACATGCCAGATGCTCTTTCATCATGTTTTCTTCTTGCCCAGCTGCTAAATGCAATGCTTCTGTTTGTGAGTAACATTTAGATTCTGATTCAGTAAATTATTTAGATACATGGTTAACTTCGTGTGAGTTCAGCCTGCTGCAGTCAATAGATTTTAGGTAAAGTCTTAAAGCTTTGCCGAATCAGAGTTTGCACAATTAATTATATGCAAAAGAAGAGACTTGTTCTCTTCCAGGTCTCTATGTAACAAACTAAGACTCACCAGGGCACAAAAGCAGAAAACTACTGATCCCATTATTCATTTCTATTATGGTGCTGCAGCACTTATTCAGTCTTCTCTACACATAAGAAGATATATTCTACAGCATAGCTAGTGAAAAATAAAATATCTTCAGAACTATTGATAGTGAGGTAGATATCATTAATCCTATTATACTCTGTATAAATATCAGTTAAAAACCTGAACTGAAAATGGAGCAAAAAAATAAAAATCAAGGAAAACATCATTTGCCATCTTCTGAATGAAAAGGTGGGTTTTAGTGAGTATACTTAAGATATTCATTAATAATTGAATCCACATAATACACCCATCCTCTCATTAGAAACTTGCAGGAATGGAATAATTGGCACGGGCAGGAAGAAATGACAATGTGAACATAGGAATTATAAACAAAATTAGATTCAGCTGTATAAAGTGAGGACTAACATGTCATTCAAACACAGGCATGAACAGCCACATTGGAACCTGGAAACATGAATGCCCTGGAAGTGGGAAAG